AAAGAATTCTGATTTGCAAAAGCTGAATTTGGATGCTAAAGGCTTCTCATAAGATTTTAGGATTCTAAATTAAATGTCGAATGAGAAGTGTGGCTTATTTTGATAAGTTTTACATTTTAAGTCAATACACATATCTTATAAAATAGCACTATGGAGTAAGCAGTTCCTTTTTTATTTTCACTTCTCATAGCAGCATAGATTTTGCACCCAAAACACAACAGAAGACGCCACACTATTTCCCTTGAAATATTTTTTTTTAAATTGTTTGACTTTAGAAAGGATGAACTTGAACTTATACACTTCATTCATAACTCTACACCGCGGATTACCATGTTTTTAATTTATAGCCTTCTCTGGTTTCCCACTAGTTCAAAACACTACACTGCCAACATTTCCACAAAGTATTCAGAAGCAAAACATGGCCAGATTCACAGATGCTTCTGTCTCTCTCTCTGACTGTGATCCATATATAAACCTCTAGTGAACATGCATGGCTTAGACCCTGTAAGCATGTCAAGTGTATTAACAGTAATACTCTCTCCCTAGTTAATCTTTTTGCATTATTATTTTTGATTTAATTTTTAAGTGGAAAGAAAAAATATAACGTAAGAGATCAAGTGCAATTTACTAACTTTGATGCCTTTGGGAGTCACAGGCAGTAACTCACTTAACACAGCCATGATGCTTTGGTGACTTCTTCCACCTGATGAAAGAAATCATGAAACTCTCTCCCTCTCGACAAAGCCACATGGGCCTCAGTGTTCACTGTGTCAAGAGGAAGGGACTGCAATTGTCATATTTGTTTGGGGTTTTTTCATTTTTATCCAACTTTTAAATACTGATCATGCTGTCCTGATTGTGTTTATCAGAGAATTGGACTTCTTGTGAAACAAATACTTACACTGCATAACTTGTTTCAGGGATAGCGCTGCTGTTTCCTCCAAACTCCGCCATTTCCCAAAACACCAAATTGTGCCCTATGGCTAAAATATAGCTACTCCCTTGTCTTTCTGGAATAACTCACATATCAGAAACAATCCTTTGTTCAGCAATCGCTCACACGCCTGGGCAGCTCGCAGTAGTCAGCTAATGCTGATTGTATTTGCAGCTGACTGAGAGTGTGCCCTGTGGCAGTTCCTTCAGATCAGCAGCCAGCCCTAACCTGTCACTCCAAAGCAACATTTGTGTGACTGTGCTCTAATTACTCATTCTCCTTGTTCAGATGACCATGTGACTTTATGACTTGTTAATCTATGGAGATACTACATCTCCTACAGCATTTAAGACCAATTGACAGTATTTCAAACAATTCCCACTGTGGCTACTCATAGTGCAACAGCTGGCCTGCTCTAAGGCTCTACCTGTTGGGGAGGTGGTTCTTGAAGAGAACTTGCAGAACAGGCTAAATTAAGTCTTGGAAAATTTCTAGACAGATAAAGCCCATTTTAATAAGCCAAGGTTATCCTTATTCTCTGGATAAATAAACCATATCTCTTTGCTACACTTGGCATCTGAAGGTTCTCCCTGGATTTTACTCCTGTTTCTATCAGTTTCCTGTTGCACAGATGAACTACGTGAGTTTTCCTTAAAACCATCCCAATACCATTGATACAACAATGAGCTAATGGTCTTTCATTTAAGGACAAAAGGGAGTGGTCCTTCCAACCTGCTGTTCTGTGGGGAAGGGGCATGCACAGACTTTTAGCTGTCTGATCAAAGCACACCTATTGATTAAATTACAATGAAAACAAAAATGTCAGGTCTAGATTTTGGAACTACATGGAAGTAAATGCCAGCTTATGAGTACAGCCTCTTTATGTCTCAAAAATAGCTTTCTCCTTCATAAGCAGTGCCATTGATTGAGATGCTATTCAGGCAAATGTCTAAGAACATTTTGTTCAGTAATTATTGTAGGCTTGAGCACACAGACTATAGAAGAAAAATCTATTTTAAGACCAAAACCCAGTGTGCCCTTCACTGCAGGCATGGCTGTGACTAACAGAGATGTCATGCTTATTATTTTACCAGATGCAAAAGCTCAAAACAAGCTATTGAGCTCATTAAAGACACAAAGCATGGGATAGCATCCAACAGTCATAGCAACAAATTACTGGGCTCCAGGCAAACTAGCTAACTACAAATTGAAATGGGAAAAAAGAGTAAGCATAAGATATACAGTAATCATACATAGCAAACGCAGAAGTCAAACCAACAGGTCTTTGAGCTGTCAAAAAGGAATATACTAAATTCTAGCATATCTTGGTGACTAACAGATGAAAAACTGATTTTTATTAAAAAATTGATTAAAAAAAAAAAACCAACCACAAAATAAGGAAGTACTGCAGCCTGGGTTCTGATTAATACTCTTGCCAGGTCAAACATCATACAGCTAGAAAACATATTTCTTTAAAAACACTTTCACATCAGTGAGGCTATGTACCCCCTCCCCTCAAGCATGCCTGCTCCAATTCTGTGACTTTAGCAAGTTCTAACTTCAGAAGAGCTCTAAGCAGACTGGAAATCCTATTGGCATTGTTGCTATTCTTGAACAAAGACGTCATTTTTCACCTCCTCTCTTAGACGGTTATAAGAAATTGTTAAAAATGTGGAATTAAAGCAACATCTCTGAATCCAATTAGCAAAACAGAACAAAAACCCATCAACTTCTTTCATCCATAAAGATGAAACAACTGTGCTGGTCAAAGTGCTAAGTTTCATGTAGACTTCTTGTGAAACTTTAAGCTACCAAAGAAATAAAATCTTCATTATGAAAAAGTCTTCAGCTTAAGAGGTCTGTCAACAGATATGAAGGGTCATCTTCAATGCACACTCCAGTATCTGCTTTTGCAGAAGTGTCAGGAAAAAAAGGTCATTAAAGAGAAACAGCTAAGTCTAACACAAAGAATATGTTCCTTTCATACAAGATTCTAAACCTTGGAGTTGGCTTCCTGAACATAGTAAGATTTTAAAAAGAGCATTTTACAGTAGGTATTCAGAATCTCCAAAAGAAGAGGTTAAAGATTAAAATAAATTCTTCATGGAATCATTGTATTTTAAAGTATCCTACGATAATACAAAAGAGTTCAGTAACGTACTGAGTATGACTCATTTTTCATGGAACTGTCTTTAAAATAAATCACAGAAGCTCTTTACGAATTATCTCCCTTTGAAAAGACTTGAAAGACCAGACTGCAGATTGTTGACATGAAGATGTCAGATGAAAAGAAAAACTATCCAATCCATTTTATTGCACATTGAATATATTTTCGTTGAACTGGGCTATGGACTCTCATGAATCACAATTCTAAGATACCAGGAAAAAAAGACAGTTTTAAGACTTATTTAAGGGATATTTCTAACTGTTGACCACTATGTGACTTAAAATATAGAGCATAATTTTAAAATTGCGAAATGAAAGTTATAAAATTAGATATTCTTTAAATAATGATAATTTACATTTTGATGGTCCATAGTAGCTTTAAAATTGTTATGAAAACCTTTTGCATGCTTTTTTACGCTGTGATGGCTAAATCCCTGCAGAATTATTAGGACTTGACAGCTCTACATAAAGTTGAAATAATGGGGTTTGGCATCTGAGAGATCCTTAATCCTCTTCCATCAATACTGCTGCAATAATTGCAAATGTCAGGCTAAAATGACTGTGAGCCTCAGATATCTGTCACTTACAATTACACCAATAAAATTGGTATGATTATTACACTGTATGTTCTATTACAGAACCACAATACTGAAAGCATAATTACTCCAGCATGTGCACTTCTTTTCAATATAAAGAAAAAAAAATTAAAAAAACCTCAAAACCTGAAAAACCCCGCACCCATTTGGGCTTTCAAGCAAGTCCTACTCATCTATCAGAAGAAAATTTTCCTCTTCCACAGGATGGGACAAACTGTAGTTTCTATTTCATCCATATATACAAAGAATGGCATTTATCCTGTCACTGAAAGCAACAGCTGCACCAGACATATTTTAATTAACAGAAACCAACAGTATTTAGATATACACATGCAGTCTTATGAACAGCCTCTTCAGAGCAGTGTCATGTGATATTTGCAATTTTATCCAAGAACTGTTTTTTGTCATGCTCTTCCTTGAGATAATCTAGCACTACTAAATATTCTCTGGTGCTTTCTAAAAAAAAAATATTCAGATACATTATAAAAGATTGCTTGTCATTAGTATCATTGGATACTGTGAATTATCACTGTTATTGCAAAGGTAATGGCTTGTGAAAAGAGTTGGCAGAATGTGAGGTCAGCGTTACACAACGTTACACAGTTAAAACTATTTCTGTTAATTACAGATTCTGAGAGTGGCCATTAGATAATTTAATATACAGTATGAAATCAGTGTTTGATTTTTGATCTCTTCCACTCTCTACAACTTTAGGTGAGTTGAGTTCTAAACACTAAAAATCATAATAATAAAAAACACACACATTTTACAGTCTGTGAACTGAATGGGTAATAAATGCCCCTTATGAAAAATCATGTTCTTTTAAAGATAACTCTTCTAAATTTCCTTGGAATCACAGCTATTTGTAGCAGCATTCCAGCTAAACTTTCACCAAAAAAAATTAATCTAGTCAAGGACGAAGCTTTTAGAAAAGGGCAGTTCAGTGGTATTTTTGAGAGACTTCAATTTTTTATTAGGATTCCAGTGGAGGAAGTAAATTTGAAAAAGATTGCTTAATTTGTATGAAGTTTCAATTTTTGGATTTTTCAAGTGCATACATTAAATCCTCAGTTCAAAATGTATGTAACCAGAAACATGAAAGATTCCATCCATTTCTCCCACAGAATCAAGCTTCTTTGTTTCTCACAGGAGAAAAAAGACAGATTTCTTACATGAATTATCATCTTTAAATTATACCTTCAATAAGTATAATTTATAATAAATTATAAATCTTCATTAAGTCATGACACGTAAATTGTGAGAATTAGAGGCATTTAAAATTGTGGTAAGACCTGGATACTTACATGAGCTTTTTGTCTCAGATAGCCTGATGTCCTTTGGAAGGAAATATTGGCTTACAGGCTGGAAGACATGATACATACTTGTCAAGTTTGGATAGCTGAAGTACCAGGACTGAAGAGCACAACTTTGAGAACCTCTGATCCAGAAGTATTCTTACATAAAAAGGGAAAATAGTGAGTGCTTATTTCTCTCAAATAAATGAATTATCTATATACTGGAAATATAATGTGAAATAATATACATATGTCTCTGTAGAACTACATTCAAGAGTCTGGGCCATCTGAGCTCCTAAGCAGTATTGAAGCAGGGCTTTGAGTCTCCTTTAACTAATTTTACAGAGTTATAACCCCCGTTGCCACAGAGTCAAGTCTAAAAAAAGATGAAACAAGTAAGATGTATGAAACAACCAGACCCAAAGCTTCTAGAATAACAGGCCATGCTAGCGATGCATATTGAAATGATTGTTGCAAATGCATCTGATCCATCACATATCATGCCATACATTCAGACTTCCTAATAAAAACTAGCAATTTTCATCTGGGATCTAGTCCAAGTCCTATTCTAGGTGAAATAATTTTGCAGAACCTCACAGTTGTTATAAGGAAGAACAGATTATTCTTTGATTCTGATTTGACTCACAAGTGAGGGTCCTTCACACAAATTTTGCTAAGTGATTAACTGGCAACATTATTTTCCAGCTCAAAAAGTACATATTTAATAATGTGATCCCTGAAAAGACTGACTTTTTCAGCAGAGTCTCCATGTGTTGCGGTTTGGAGCTGGCTCCCTGCCAAGTCTCCAACACCGCAGCAAATGCTTCCCCCCCCCCCAAAAAAAAAACAAAGGAAATGAGAAAAAAAAAACCAAGAGACCCGAAATAAGAGAGCTAAAGCAATATATAAATATATTTACACTTATATTACATTTATATACAATTACAAAGATTATATACACATGAGAAAGAAGCCCCCAACACCCCCAAAGGAAAGGGAAAAGGGACAAAACAAAAAAAACCCACTAAAAACAGGTATACACACTCAATAAAGAACCAGTCAAAGAAAATCTTAATACTTTCCTTGAGATAGCACAATTGTGCCAAACACCACCGCCACGCTGCCAGACCTGGCATTGGCAGAAACAACAGGCCCCGTAGGTCCAACCAGGCCTCAGCTCCCCCACAGGAGCAAGACCCACCGCAGGAGTCTGCTGGCCCCAAACCTCGCAGAACAGAAGAGAGGAAGGGGCTTCTCTCTCCGTCTATTTATATGTTTGACTGCGTAAAGGAATAGGATGGAATACTTCCTTCCTTCCTTCCTGGCTGCCAGGAAGGAAAGCCTAGACTAAAAACCATTACCCCATGGAAGTCCTGATGCAAGACATTGTCCTCTTCTTCCAGTCAACTGAGGTTACAACCTCTAGATTCCAAGCAGTGGGTGAAGGAGAGCAAGGATTTATCTGACACAACCTTGACAGTATTTCTGCCAGTACTTTTAAAATTTTCAGAATGGCAAGAAGTGATCTAGACATCGAGGAGGATAAATGTTGATCATACAGGACAGCTATTGCCATTTAAGAAATGTGCTATAATCTGCTGATAAATTTTTAATTCAGTTAATAAAGAAGTTCATGAAAAAGAAATATTAAGCAGTAGCATTTCTCAACCTTAGAACAGTCTGAGGAAATTTTTTGGCATCCACATGGCTTTTTGTCATTTTTCTTTTGGCATCATTCCACAAACAGTTGGTTAGTATAAGAGCTGAATGAATTTTAGATTCATTTATAGAAATCACTGCAAGGAACTGACTGAATATAGTGTTTTTCTTCTTATGCCACATTACTCTCTGTTTCCTAATTTTCCTAGAAAACAAACAGTTCACTTATGCATGAAGCATCATAATTTTTTGACTACATATATGAGATATAAATCCATAGTTATATGTTAATCATTACATGTTACCGAAAAAAACATTTATTACTCACTAATACACAAAGAATGTGCAACCTGTGGGACAGAACCAACTCGTGAAAACTTGTTAGTGCATCTGCTCCAGAACTTTCTAAATAAATGACAGTGTTTGGGTGTATAAAAACACCAATTCAGGTATCTTTGCATAAGAATGCATTGTATCATGGTAAAAGACCTTTCCCAAATCTTTGTTCGCGAAGACTGGCCATACATCGTATCATTTACCTACACTCAAAACACTTGCAGAGTCATGTACTGTTCCAGCAAAGACAACCTGAAGAAAGAACAATCTAGTATCTTTTAGCCATCAATCTTCTACTCTCTCAAAACTCCCCAGAGACACTGTATTGACACTGTATTTTTATTTTAAACTGGAAGTTGGGATTGTGTTGGTTAAAATTGATCTGTCTTTTCTAAGGGGCAGTCTTATATATTGTCTCTGGCAGTTCAATTACCCTGAAACATGAACACTTTTAAATTTTATGATGTCACCAAACTGGTTAACATTACAATAGAACATGAAAACATCTGTGTTTTCAAGACACATAGATACTGTTTTATCCTGAAGGGAGAAAAATTCAACCCTTATACAATAACTGCGTTGGCTTTTATTTCTCTCTGATGACGACAATAATGAATGTCCACCCTCTTCACTTTCAGGTGTGAACTTTTCTGCTTTGTGTTCTTTAAACAGTATCTTTTTAACTTTATAATCTATTTTTTTTCATTTCTCACCAGACATCAAGTCATTCTTTTCCTTTTTCCACAGTCCTCCAGACCACTCCTTCCTTATTAGATCACTTCCCCATTGCAGTTTCCCCAAATTCTAGCTTTTCCCTCATCTTTTCTCACTGAAGCTTTTCTGAGCTTTGGTGCAAATGAAATATTCACTTCAATCCGTTGAGTTCAAGGTTATGAAAAACATGTCATCAGAGTAACAGTGATGTAAATACTAGTAGAATACTTCTTTAAAAGATCACAGTCTTCTCATAATGTATTACCTTAATACTTCATCAGAAAGTTGTTTTCCAAGACATAAAAGACAATACCAAACTAAAAATCCACTTTATGAGAAAGAAAATAAACTTACACATTTGTCACTGATGGTTTTTCCAAAGAAACTTTATGTTTTTTTTTCTTGTTCAAATGGTTCATCATTTCTATTTAGGTACAATGCAAGTCTTTATCTTAACCTGCTTGTCATAACAAGCTGTAACTACAGAACATTTTCAAATTAATTAAAGTTATATTCCCTCAAGGTTTAAAAAAGCCAGTGCAGCTTTTGATCTGTTTACGAGAGTTGTTACAAGAGGGAGGAAGCAGGTTATGTTACTATAGGGTACTTAGCTATTAGTTGCTCTTAGGATTATTCAGTAGTAAAAATGAAAAGTAAAAATAAGAAGGTTATTGTGAAATTAGACCCCTGTCCATCTCCACAATGTTTCATATAAATAGTAACTATGTCTTTTAGAGGAAGAGATGATGAATCACGCAGCCATGTCCTGGTAGCAATGAGCTAGCTGTGTTATCAAAATGAAATTTTATATGCAGTAACCTGAATCAGGCACTCCAGCCTAATAAATTCAATTTTAATGAGAAAGAGAATCAGACTTTTTATATGAAAGATGTTGACTCTACTCAAGATGATGCTTATTGCTATGAGTATCACCTACCATTGAAAAAGAAAACGTTCACTGTCACATACAATTTTGAAAAGGGAAGTCAGAAAAGCATTAGATTAATCTTTCAGCATCAAACATATGCTACAGGATAAAGCTGCCAGCGACTTTAAAATGATTACAGGATACACAGCAGGAAGAATTAATTGAAATCAACATGTGTTATTCACTGACTTCAATGAGACCACTATCCAACATTCCCAAAACTCACTATTAGAATTTTGGCCCTGATAACCAAACTAACCTGATCTAACCAAGAGCAGTGTCATGTATCTAATAAGTGCCCTAACATTTGTACTTTACTGAGTACAGCATTACTGAACCAATACTTTCAAATGAAAACACTAGGAACTTGTCTATTCACTTGATTTCTGCTTCAAATTGTTTGTACAAGATCAATTCAACTCAAGCAGAAGCTGCCCTGCCTGAGCTCATCTTACCACTCTTACCACTTTACCTTAAATTTCACACTGAACTTTTCCTCCTACCCACACCATCTCAGTCTATCTTGACTTGTTGAACTGTCACAAACCTCTGTCTACTGATGAAATAATGTAATTTCTTCCCTTTTCCACTGACGCTCCTTAGCGTTTTTGTTCTTCCTTCCAGTTTATGGTGAGTGCAAGTTGCTGAAGGATTAGGCCTATCTAGCTCAGTCTGATCACATTATGATAGAGAGATTGCTTAATATGGAGCATATAAGTGCTTCAGTCAGCTTTGCTGAATCAGGATGATTTCAGTTAGTTCTCTTAATCTTGTTGCCGTATATTGTTTTCATATCATTTTCTCAGAGCTAAAAGTTTAGGCTACTTTTGGTTATTTGGTAAATAAATGTAGTTAATTAGGTTTTTTGTTTGTTCTACAGTACAAATGTGAGGCTTTTGCACAAACTACCCATATATTCAAATTTCTGCTTCAAATTAGTGCTGTTCTTATATGATTACAGTTGCTATAGAACCATTAAAAAAACTTTTTATCTGAGAAAAAAAAATCTCTTCATTAATTGTCTCTCCATTCTATGCATTTGGGTATGAAGGCTGAGGCACTGGCAGTCTACCAGACTTCTCAATGGATAATTTCCTCTAAATGATGAACTAAAATTATTTTTACTTCAGTATTTTTAGATGCTCTTCCAGCTTCCTTTTCATTATTGGTATGAGGAAGTAATTTATTGCATTGTTATGGAATAGTCAGCTTATTCTCTTTCTATTTATGTCCCACTCAGTATATATACACATATATATATCTGTTTACTCATTAAAGTAATTAACCACACTCATCTTGATATCAGAACTAGGAAAATCCCAATACAGCATTCTTTGCTCATGCAATTTGAAGTGAAATCTAGAGTGTTCTAACACTGAGCCTTTAGTGTTGTCAGTCAAAATAAGAAGAGAATAACAGTAACGGTCTTT